CATACTAAACAAACAGGAGACGAAGAGAAAAAAATAGATTGAAAATCGATTATCAAAGGGGTCATCGAATGGGGATATCAACCTATTTCATTTCTCCGGATAAGAACGCACATACCTCTCTCTAGCTGGCTATATCTGGAAAATAACTCACCCTGACAGATTTGGCAAATAACTCACCCTTTCCTTCATGCCACACTCCATTGTTTTCTTCGTGCACACTCTGCAATACCAAAACAATATACACAACATCAATGATGATTTTCCAATAACAGCAGTATATATTTAACATTCATGTTGGTCAATAGTCGAAACACAAAAGAAAACAAAAGAATATGGAATTGGCTCGCAAAGATAAGGCAAAGGGAGAAAAAGAGGGTCAGAGAAATAGAGAGCTGCAGAGAATTACCAATCACAAGTGAGCAAGGAGATGGCGTCTGCGATAACTAAGGTTACAGAGGAGACAAAATCCTCCAAATCGCCTCTAGACCAGTCTCCTAGTCTCTCCTTGGGACTGTTGTTGTCCACACACCACCATGAACGACGGATCAAAGAACTCCCCACTATTGGTCTCATCATAAAAAGCTTAGCTGAAAAGAAATCAAAATAAACTCATTGTGTTCTTAAGCAAACTGGAAACTGCAGTCTTGCCAGGCAACTGCATACCAGGAAAAGAAATCAGTAGACAAACCAAAAGCGATCAAAAACAGCACAAAAGGGCAAGCTACCACAACATGCTTTCCTAGACCCTAGCATTGACATGCACAACCAGGATAGGTTCTTATCAGTATGGGCCGAGTCATGCTTAAGCTTCTTGAGCCTAGCACTGATATTGCAAAACTGGAGTTGCCATTTGAGCTGTGAAGAAACAACTGTACATATATCTAATAAAAACATGGTTCGGTAAAAGCAGAAGTCTGGCATCAAAGCAACAAAATGGGCCAGCTACCTCAATGTTTGGATATGAGAACTCGTAGCCAAAATCAGGTACATAAAGCAAGAGAGCAAACCATTCAGAAGCTTTAGTGGCTCGATCATAACCTGACAAAGAAGCTCGGGAAAATTAAAATTTAGGAAACAATTGTATACAAATCTAGAACCCAAAAGACAGAAACTTTAAAGATTAAAAGATCACTCGTTCATCTTACAATCCCCTCACTAAGCTCGCTACAAATCTGGAAGATGGAGCATCAAATAGAAAAAGAGCACACAAGAAACTTAGCCCTCTTTAAACGGTAAACCTCAGTAGAAAAAATCCAAGACTCCATGAAACAGATTTTGGTTTAGTTTGGTTTCGATATTCTCAAATAGGCTGGCACCAAAAACTTAAGAAAATACCAGGCTTGCTTTCCTCTTGCAAAATCTTTGATCACCGTGTACTATGACATCAAATGTTCACCGACATCTCCCTGGGTAAGACATCAAACAAAGACTTTCGATTAGGGAGAGAGGGAATAAACAATATAAGATCAATGAGAATTCAAAGTCATGGCAGAAAGATCAATCACCTCAAGCAAAAAATGATAATACAGATCTCCGATCCCTATACATATCTCTCAAATATGCTTATTGATCCAATAGATAAAATATGCTAATCAGGGATAGATCAACAGGAGTTTGGAGAAATTGAGAGTGAGGTAGGGAGGGGAGGAGAGAGAGACCTGAGATCGTGGCGGTGGGATTTTGTCAACCTCTCATCAGTCCCCTCAATTACCCTCTCGATCTTTACAGATAGATTCTTCAGGCCGCTGCTTTTTTTTTCCTTTCCACCCGAGCTCTCAGTATTGATTCGTTCCCGAAACCATCCTCTATTGCGAGCTTCTTGCTCACTTTAACTCCTATGGTCTTCTTTCTCCTCCTTCTTTAGCCAGGAGACATCGTAGGCGAAAACCATGCGAGAGAGTAGAACTGGGGAAGAGAAACCAGAGAACAGAATTAAGAAAAGATGCATCTAATCATAACATAAGATTGAGATGAAGCAAAACCCTCAACATCGAATTCCCACCTTCAGACGGCAGGAAGCAAGAGATACTCACAATTCTCTAGTTCTCCCTCTCTTGCGGATACCCAAAGGCAAGTTTTCCCTCAGCCAGAAAAGGAAAACCCCCAAGAGAGAAAGTGAGAAGTCGATTAGGGAGTTGAACAGGAATCAGAGAAGAACGACCAAAGCAAAGAGATCTCACCATTCTCCGGTTCTCCCTCTCTTGCGGAAACCGCCGGCTGGCGCTCATCAGTGTTGAGGACTCTTCGTCGGAGAGGGACTCTCAAAACCGGCGGGACTCTCGAAACATGTGATTGTAGCTCTCCTCGGAAACCTTCCCAGATTCTCTGACCGCCTAAAACCCAGAAGAATAGAATCAACAGAGGTTATAAGAGAAAGCATACAGAGAGAAGAAGTGAGAGGAGGAGGAAAGATTAAGGGAGAGTGGTTCGAAAGCAAGAGAGAGACCATCTTCGGATCTTTTGTGAGCGGGGGAGATAAAGATCGATGCAGATCCCCTGCGGCAAGAAGCAAACCAGGCAAACAGCAAACAGAGTGAGCAACGCAGCAGTCGAGACCCTTCCACGGTCAAAAAAAAAGCAAAGAATTCATGCAACGAACCGTCTCATCCACACAGAGAGTGCAGAAGTTGAAGACTCTGAAATCGACCGGAGCCTTCACAGGCCACATGTGGAGCAATCGAAGACGGAGAACCACAGATTCCTTCTTCGGACCGGCGAGATTGCACAAAAGTGTGAACTCCATAACTCGAAAAAGCAACCAAGCGAACGAAACCAGAGAGTGCAGAAGAATGAGAGAGAACGGCGAAAGGTGCGAAAGAGAAGTGTGCAGCAGCGTTTGGAAAAGTTGTTGGTCGAGTGAGTTTCTTAGTGGAACGGGCCGAGTTTCGTGTGGGTGGGCTGAGTCGCATCAAATGTCCTTCTCCCAAGAAACCCATCAACCTGTAGACAGCATTCCACCTCCCAAGCACCTGCACGCAGCGGCACCGCCTCCCAAGGACGCAATCATCACCACATAGGCAATTGCAAAGAGCAGAACCACCTCACGAAGAAAGGGGCAAAAAGAACGTGCCCGGATATCCATCACGTGATTCGAGGCCGGCGCGTGAGAGGCGGGAGACCTAGAGTACAAAGCAGAGGGAAACAGAACCCAAACGGCGGCACCGCTACACCAGACGTCAGCTCGCAGCACAGGAACAGAGGCAACGCAGAACAGCAGCCAATCAGATTTCAGGGAATAGTAAAATTGAGTCTGTATGACCAGTAAAAGGTGTCTTGCGCTACAGTAATCGGCGTTAGTGGAAATAATGTTCTTTAATTTGGTATTTGGATTTGTGTCAAATTCATGGGGTGATTTCCAAATACATGTCTAGTGTATTTTTTGTCAACTTCAAATACATTTCAACAACTAGTGATTTGAAATACCTCCTAACAAAAGAATGGACCTATTTGTAAAATATGAAAAGTTTAGGTACTATAGTGTGAGGCAAAACATATAAAGGTACCAAAATGTAATTTTACCATCAAAATTTCAGGACCTTTTTGTAAAATTTTAAAATTTTAGGTACTAAATTGTAAGAAAAATAATTTTGGGTACCAAACTGTAATTTACCAAAATTTGTAGTAAGTGACCAGAAAATTAAAAATTGAAATTGAAAATCATAAAATACAAAATACAAACAAATTACAAATTAGTATCCAAACAATGAATTTGAATTACATGTATTTCAAATGCTAATATTTCTAATACATCCATTTCAAATGCTAATATTTCAAATACCTTACATTTAAAATCCACTTATCCAAACGCACCCTTATTGATTTTCCTGCAGTTATTCCTTTTGCTTCTCCGGGTATATGTGTTGTGTCTGTCTGTCTGTCTATACATGGAGGGAGAGGGATTTAAAAATTGAAATTAAAAATCATAAAATACAAAATACAAACAAATTACAAATGAGTATCCAAACAATGAATTTGAATTACATGTATTTCAAATGCTAATATTTCAAATACATCCATTTCAAATGCTAGTATTCCAAATACCTTACATTTAAAATACACTTATCCAAACGCACCGTTGGGGTTTTTATTTGGAGATTGGAAGAAGGCTTTTAGGGAGGTGAGTAGGCTATAGAGAGTGGGAGCTAAAAACAAGAAGGGTTTTTTTTTTATTTCTTTCTTTTGGTTTACTCTACTTCTTGGCTCTCCACACAAACACCAAAACTTACAAGTCTATTTATAGGCCTTCACTTACAGAAATATCAAGAGAACCGACTTTTAGATATATGGTTCCTAATTTTTTTCTTTTTGTTTAATCTATTCAACTAACCCAACTACCATAATAAATTTCCCTTCTACACATTTCCATAATCCATACACGTTGATAGTATTCTAGGGAGTTCTGATTTTTTTTTTCACCTTTATTCTATAATAATTAAACTTTATCAATTTCAAGTTGTACACACAAAGATTGGTACTAGTGTTTGTAACTCTAAATCTTCAGTGTTCTGTATAACTGTCCCCAAACTGAGAAGCTCAGTTCCAATCTTTCTTTTCTCATTAAAAATGTTTAACAACTTGTTGTAGCCTGCAGATTTTTTCTTGTTGCTGTAGTTTATGCAGAATTTTCTTGTTTGCTTATGCTTTGATGTAGTTTTTCAGTTCATTTTCTGTATAACTAGTGTTTGTAACTCTAAATCTTTAGTGTTTTGTATAACGTCCCCAAGTTAGGAAGCCCAGCTCCGGTCTTCCATTTCTCATTAAAAGCGTTTAACTTGTTGTAGCCTGCATATTTTTTCTTGCTGCTGCAGTTTCTAACAGAAATTTTTTGTTTGGTTATGCTTTGATTTATTAGATGACAAAATAATAGGAAAGTCACGTAAACTTTATGTACATATATATTATTTACATATAATATTTATGCAACTAAAATATATTATGTAGTATTATTCGTGCCAATCTGGCGGGTTCGAGTTGGGTTAATCGAGTTTGGGTTAGTCGGGTTACGGGTCAAGCGGGTTGCGGGTCAAGCGAGTTGTGTGTCAATCGGGTTTGGGTCAAGCGGGTCGCGGGTCAATCGGGTCACGGGTTAATCAGGTTGCGGTCAACCGGGTTGCGGGTTGGGCGTGTTGCAGGTCTTTGACTTTTAGTCAAATCAGGTTGCGGGCGGGTTGCGAATCAGATTGATTGGGCGGGTTACTCGGATCGGGCCATGTTTTGACACCTATAGTTTATAGGGACTCAAATGATAGTTATTTTAGTTCAATGGCTTGTTGGAAAGAAATGCAGGTCTTTGACTTTTAGTCAAATCAGGTTGCGGGCGGGTTGCAAATCAGATTGATTGGGCGGGTTGCTCGAGTCGGGCCATGTTTTGACACCTATAGTTTATAGGGACTCAAATGATAGTTATTTTAGTTCAATGGCTTGTTTGAAAGAAATGCATGGTACAAGAGCAAAAAATAAAAAAAGTTTCATAAAAACGACACCCAATCGACAAATACGGCACGGTGAAGAACAAACGTGCAAGCAACTGTGCAAGCATGGTTAGTGTTACCTTTTTCTGATCGGATCAGGATTAGGGGAGTAGGGTAAGGGCGCAGTGTTTAGATTGTATATATATACAGATCTAAAATTCATCTAAGGCCATCTTTGCGGCTGCCCTGTCTCCGACGTTATGAACTCTTTCTCTGGGCGACTTTACTCGAGAGTTCGCCGGAAATCCTAATGTCTTAGACATCTTCTTCGCCGCGGAGACTTTGGGGTACGATTTGTGATACTCTGTTTTTTTTTTTATATTTATCGCTTTCTTCCAGAATTTGAAAAAAAAAGGAGACGAGTAAAAGAGATCTAGATTCAACAAGTTTCCAGGTACAGGAATGAAAACCTGAGCATGTCAATTTGTCCAGAATACAACGGTGGATGCTTACGTTTCTGTCGTTGTGTGGCAGCGGAGTCAGCAAACAAGGAAAGACATATCCAACCAGCCACCACGCTATAACCATGTCGTCCATTTGTAGTTTCACAGAGCAGATAGTGAGTTTTTTCGGCGTTATTTTGAGTCCATCCTTTTTTTTTTGTAAAGAAAAGTAGCATGCTTTTGATGTTTCTTTGTTCACCCTCTTAACATCTCTGGCTTATCTCTTCAGGTAGAAGAAGATAAAGGAGATGACCCTGAAGCAGTCGCGGCTGGATACTCTGTTTTCACGGGGAAAGAACCAGTAAGTTTCTGCCTTATCCCTAGCATTAGTTTATGGTTCCCAGTTGACTTCGCCTAAAAAATTCCAGAACTTTGATTGTGGGGTTGCTTGTTTCTTCTCTGTAGGAAGGTTTGCAGGGAGAGGGTAGTAGTAGTAGTAATAGTTGTTTAGATCGGATTAGTGGATTGCCTGACGAAATCCATGTCAAAATTCTGTCCGCCTTGGCCCTCGAGGAGGCAGTTAGAACTGCCGTTCTCTCAAACAGGTGGAAAGATTTGTGGAAATCTGCCGTAACAATTCTGGACTTTGAGGCCCCGACGAAGTTGGAACAAATTCAGGATATCTTTGGGACTCCTAGAGAAGAGCTTCAAAGGTTGCAGGAGGAGCACAGGCGTTGGTTCATTGATTGGGTGAATGGGGTTGTGACGCAGCTGCAGGAGCACAATTCTTGTGCCCCAAAACTGAGCAAGTTTCGGGTATGTTTTAACTTATGCAAAGCTTGCAATTATAGAGGAGATATAGATGAATGGCTGGAGTTTGCAATATCAAAGGGAGTTGAGTACCTTGAGCTGTCCTTCAATCTGGATTATGAGCTTGGGACCTGGGATCGTAAGTGCTATCGTTTCTCACAAGATTGTTTCCGTCACATCAAAACTCCAACTGGGTTGGCCAATATCAAGTCTCTAAGGTCCTTGCGCTTGTGCTATGTCGATGTCAAGGGTGAGTTGCTTCAGCACTTGATCTCTAATTGCCCCTTGCTAGAAGAGTTGGTTGTGCACAAGTCGAGTTTGCTGAGGACACTGAAGGTCGTGGGTTCATTAACATCACCGATTCCTTTGAAGCACTTGGAACTGACACACTGTCAGCATCTGCAGTCCCTAGAGATTGATCATGCCCCTCATCTCGCACACTTGACGCGCGAGGGGCATCAGGGTGTGGAATTGCGTGTTGACAATTGTGCACGTCTTGTGGATGTGAACTTTGTCTGTCAATCCATACCTGGTTCCATGATTCAATCGTTTTGTAGGTATGCTGGTCAGTTGGAGTCCCTTACGCTGGAGCTAAGCTATGTAAGTTGAGGAGCAGGAACATATGATGATTTGGATCTACTTCTGTATGTATATATGTGTGTGTGTGTGCACGCTTGACAAGGAAACAACTCTTTCAATATAATTTCAACGTTTCTTTTTCGTAGGGGGGCTTAAGCTTTCCGGATGTGGGCGAACTCCACCTCAAGTGGCTCACACTAAGACTTCATGCATCAAAGGATGATAGTATGCTCGGCATGATTCCTTTGATCGACGCATGCCCTCGTCTGCAGAAACTGACGGTGAAGGTAATAAACTTTAGACCCAAAAGCACTGTTATTAAAACCGGGCCGGACCGTCCACCGGGCCGGTCCGGACGGACCGACCGCGAAAACCCGGATCCGCCCAGCTTTCCGGTTTTGATTGGCTAAAAACGCAACGGAAATTGTCGGCCGGGTATCGACCGGTTCAACCAACTAACCGGTGAACCCGGATGAACCGTACCGGCGGTTGCTGACCTTCCATTTTCCCCCCTTTGAATGACCTTCCGTTTCTTATTCTTTCTATTTAATATTTATTGGAAATTTATTATTTTTTCAAAATCGAGACATTAAAAAGGGAAAGAAAATATATGTTTCCGCCTTTTTACAAGTTTTCCACTTTTTTGTTTTCTCCTGCAACTACCCACTACTTTTCATTTTCCATTTTTAACTTCTCTTTTCTTTCTTTCTTTCCCTAACTACGTTCTCTTTTCTTCTCATTAATTCCTTCCCTCTTCTTCTTATTTTCAATTCCCCAATTTAAGACACAATCGGTCAAAAAACTACAAAAAAAGGTATAAACTCTATCTTCCTAATCAATTTGTCCAATGATTATACAGTAGTCTTATTCATTTATGAGTGATATAATTATATTTTTTAATATTGAATTTTTCAATTCATGTGTATAAAATATATAAGTCTCATTTCTCAATTTAAATACTAGTATTAATTTTCATATGTATCATGAAGTCATTTTTATTTTATTTTGGAAACTTCAATGCCACCGGTTTTATGTTCGGTTTTATATCTGTTAATTATCGGTTATCCGATAAACCTTAAACCTCTCACTAATCCGGAGCATTGCCCGGTCCAGCTTTAACAACACTGCGGCCAAAAGGAAACGAACAAGTAGTCTAGTCTTCTGTTGATATCTTTTGTTTGGCTTCTCGCTCCTATTCTAAGTTCGCCTTTTTTCTGGTTTGGTATAAGTTGTAATGTTTGTCTTCTTCTTCTTCTCCCTTGCCATAGCTCCATACAGACACCGGTAACCAATGTCGGCGCTATCGGCATGTTAAAAAATGTCGTGAGAGCATCAAAGTCGTAGAGATTGTTGGGTTTTCAGGCTATCATGTCGATTGCGAATTTGTTGATTATGTGCTGGAGCATTACGTGGGGTTGGAGACTATAGTGATTGATAGAGGATTGACCACCCCGTTTAAGGGTCGCCTAACGAACTATTGCAGTGAGGAACAAGCCAACATAGCCAGAAAGCTTGCCTTGGAGCTCAAGTCTAAAGCATCCCGGTCAGTTGAATTTGTAGTAATCTAGTTGTCTCATAATATTGCGGTGAGGAACACGCGAACATAGCCAGAAAGCTTGCCTTGGAGCTCAAGTCTAAAGCATCCCGGTCAGTTGAATTTGTTGTAATCTATTGTAATCTAGTTGTCTCATAATATTTCGGGTAAATACAATTTAATATCCAAACCTTTTATTTTAAACAATATAATAGCCAAACCTTTTCGAAAACAATCTAATATCCAAATCGTCAACTTTTTGTCTGTTTCACCGTTAGTTGACACTTCAAAAAAGTTCGAAGTACGACACTTCATCAATATCCATCGATATCTTCTCTGAAAAACCACCAACATATCGTAGTTCCAAACCCGAGAAGTCCATGACTCCACCATGATGATATAGAATATCTAAATATTCAGTCATCTGCAATGCCAAAACAAGAAACAAAGTTGTATTGCGACAATTTCCCCTAAACAAAGCTTTTTTGAAGTGTTAACTAATGGTCAAACGAACGGAAAGTTGACGATTTGGATATTAGATTGTTTTCGAAAAGGTTTGGCTATTATATTATTTAAAATGAAAGGTTTGGATATTAAATTGTATTTACCCTAATATTTCTTTTAAACTTAGTTATTTCAATCTTCCGGCTTTCCAGTATTCAATGGGCTAAGCTAGGATACTGTATCATTATTCATTTCCTTGTGTCACTGTGTATATGTTGGAATTCCTTTTACATATAATTAGTGGGTATGCTTTTTGCCAATGTTTCTTGCTACTGTTTCAATTCTTGGCCTTTAGTGAGCTGAACCCTCAAACCTTCCACTGGAGAGCTCCTTTCAAACCCGACTTTGGTGACTGGCCCGACCCACCAGAAGTTCTCGGCTGCTGCACTGGACGGCCATGCTTTTCCTCCTGCTCCCCCGTCAATTTCACTGTCCTCCTTCCAATTACCTTCTCTCATATGGTCCTGCACGCCACCGCCCATGTCGCTTTTGCAGAGCTCTTTGGCCACGCCTCCTTCCCATCCGTCACAGCTGCTTGGACACGGCACCAACCATCGATTGTACGGATTCAGCAACACCACCACTGTGGATTGGGAGAAGAGTTGTCCTCTCTTCTGGTTTCCAGGCTTTTGAACTGAGCTTTGGCCCCTTTTGTGCATTGCAACCCCTTTGGCCCGCTGCTGATTTTCTTCCACAAAATCATCCCTCCATCCCGTCAGTCTTTTCCCCCGTCTCCTTGCATCCCCACTCATCCATATCCCTATCAGCGGCAACGATTGTGAGAATCCTCCCTTGGCACCAGGGAGGACCAGCTACAGGGATCATTGATTTTTTTGTAGGTGATTGATGAAAGTTCGTTCGCAGAAAAGAGCCTAACAAAATAGTTGATTTTAGAAGCAACATACATCGATTCTTTCCACTCTTTATGGTCGAGGTCTATCAGCAGCAGCTCCGACGCGGAAGGTAACGACGATGACAAGGATGCTAACGACGGGGAAGGTGTTGGACATTCACATCTCGGCAATGGCCACATAGTTATCGGTACGGTTTTCACTTATACAATTGATTTTCGTTTTTCTTGCCTGGACCTTTGTTTCCTCTCTTTTCTCCATATCTAGGCCACTGAAGTTTCAATGGTTTGGTGGCTGTTTAATGTCCTCGCCTGTTATGTTTGGATCTCAGTTGTGGGCTCAGTTTATTGCCGAACTTCAGTGCGGGGTGGACAGAGACACACCAAAAGAGGGGGACGAGTTGTGTTCAAAATAGTTCCACGACAACGGGAACAAGAATGCCTCGAATGCCAATCTTCTTTTCTTGATAGATGGGTTGAAAGGTGCTTTCTTCTCTATTGATTTTCTCGATCTAACTCACATTCATTTAGATTCACATTCTATGAGGAATTAGTGTGCTTGCTTTGCTATATTGTTTGTTTCAGTTAAACAAAATTTCAATCCTTGCTGCTCGGTATGAGGTTCAAGAGGAGTTGCAGGAACCTTTCAACTTCCATATGAAACTAATTATGTTCACCATCATTTGCATTTACAGGTGGGAACCTGTAGTATGAGCATGCTTTTGCTGCTGCTAGATTCGAGAAACTTGATTCTCCTACACCATCATCACTTGCCTGTTCCAGTCCATTCCACTAATCTTTGAAACTCTTCAGGTAAATGCGATCTATTTTTATAGTACTTATTTCGAGCATTGTTCTTGCCTATTCTGATTTGATTTCATGAGTAATTAAAGCCCTTAAATTAAGAGGATGCTTGTTCTTATACTGCCCTGCAGGTAGATGTTAACCACATCCGTGTAAAGCAGAGTAGGCTGCAGGGAAGGTAGGAGAATATTTATATCTCCCAATTGCTATTTTGTTATTTTGCAGTGTGAATTGTCTTTGATTAGATATGGATGCTTCTTTATTTTGTTACCAGTGCTAAGCACGCTGAAAGAGATGGTTGTGCAGATAATTCTGTGTTTTATTCCCCTCTGGTTTTGGATGTAGATTGACTTTTATTGTGGGTTACTATGGAGCTAGATTCTTTGGCCAAACGCAACGAACCCTCCAGGAACAAACCATACAGTACCAAGTTAGTCATGGTTAACCGAGGGCAGAGGTCGGAACCGCCAAATCAGGTATCCTTTAAGCTTATGGAGTTATTGTTTCCTTTGCTTGAAGATCGTATGTTATACTAATTGTGGTGTTTCTAAAAGAGAGGATCTTTTGGGTTGCCCTTATTCACTCATCTAAATATCTTTTCTTAATTTTGCTTTATATTTGTTCAAATTTCTCTACCTAACCTTATGTGTTTCCCTGCTATCTATAATTGCTATTCCACAGCTAACAACTAAACTCAAATTATTTATAGGTAGTTCATCAATCAACTAAAACCATCTCCTGAAGCTCGAGTCATCAGTCCAACTATCATCATGTACAAAGCATTTAAAGTGAAATCTTCTAGAAATTGGTGGTCTACCAATTGAAGAACAAGTACGTGGATTATTTGTATGTTTATTATGGACATCTCTCTTCTACAAACTAAGACTTTCATTCACGATATTGGGTCCTTCATATGCAAAGTTAGTATCGACCATGTTAGTTTCTAGCTTTGTATTTTAGTGCCTCTGATATTTTGAAGGGGATACAAATTATTGGAGAAATTTTCAATATTAAGGGGATGCGACTTCAGAGCCAAAATAGTGCATTCCGTTCCTAATTTTTGCATTGAATAAAACAAACTTTTTGTTTGCTTTTGGAACCTTTAGTTGCAGACAGGAGAGTGGACAGTGTAGCCACAGTGGCGATTGCTGAAAGCAAGGACTTCAATAAGAAACATAAGCTTGGAGAAATGGTTATGCAGGGTGGGACAACACCTTGACAATCCGTTAGGTATTTAACCTCTTCAAATTAGATTGCAGTTCCTCTAATAACCTCAGTACTAAATAAATTAGACATTGCTTGGTGTCCTGCTATGTAATGATACATTAGTGTTTAAATGAAATTTGTTGATCTTGCAAGAATGAAGTGCCAAAATCATCGAACGTTCCTTTCAATTATAGGCATTAAGTTCTATGAACTAAATTTGCACAAACTGGTAGTTCCTTTTTTACGGTTATGATTTTGAGACTTTGGACATACATTACATGTTAAGTTTCAGTTTCAGTTATATAAGAAGTCATACATATTTGATGATTACTTGATGTGAAACTGATTTTTTTATTGTTGTACATTTAAACAAATTAGAGGTTGGACAGGTCCATGTTGTTTCTCTCAGGTTTTCTTTCCCTTTTCTGCTGCTGTTTAGACTGGAGTCTAAACTTAAAGACTGAAGTCTCTACTCTCTTATATGTTTAATAGGAGTGGTGGTAGTCCTCTGTCACTGGTAATTGAAGGTGGGTATCTCAAATGACTTTGTGCCTAAATTGTCGTCTGACTTGCTTAACATAGAAGGAACAAACGATATATTTTGAAAATCCAACATTATTGGTTGACCATACGTTGTAGAGATCTCGAGAAGCAATGCAAGCAACCATCTATATGCTTCTACATGGAGAGGGTCAAAGAGATTACAAAAAACAGCTGGAAACAAGATGGTGCATAGAGCGGGATATTAAAAGAAACTAGGGAATTGCAGTTTTAGAGCAACTCCATTCAACAACGCAGTCCTATTCAACACGAAAAGCATTTTCAGTTGGCAGTCAGATCAGTTGGTGGGAATAGAAGCTTGATTTGATGTAAAGTGTCACCTTGGATAGTCATAGTCGATGGATATACTTTTGGGGATTATGTTATAGGATTTTAGTTCTCATTACAGATAAAGTTATTGCAGGTAGCATTTTTCAGTTTTGGCACGGGTGTACTGCACATTGTGGTCAATCCAATTAGTGATTCTACTTAGCTTACTATGAAGTGTAATCTTGCCTTTGTAGATTAGATAGTGAAATGTAACTAAATTTGACAATTACAGGTTTCTTTCATACTTCAGGTTGCTGCAGAATCAGAAAGTGAACTTACCAAACTAGAGGTTGCAAATCTGTTTTCTTTACACTTCTGGTGTGAAAAGGGATTTACTCGGCTTATATATATGATTAATTTGCCATTTGGAACTACAAATAGGGGTTTAAATTCTTACGTTGTCAATTCTGGATTTAATATTGTATACTCTTTTCTGCTTCAGTTTGCAGGTGTTCTGTTTGTATTGGGTTTCTAAGCAGGTATCCAGTGCCAAACTTCAGGAGTATTTGACTCTCCTTCAGGAATATTGTATACTCTATTAAGGCGCTTATAATCATTCTTGCATTGCCTACTTCTTCCTTCAAACATAATTCTCATAAGATGTATTCATTTACACAATCTGGAGACTTGGAAGGATGTGTCGCTTATGTCCCTATTCGAAGTGTTGTCATTGAAGTTTGACTACCATCCTTATTTAATTATATTGGTCCATTTTCTTTCAATGGAAGATAGCCAAATCCAAACTAAGAACCACCTATTTGCGTAGGAAACATTCGGAACATATGGTTCTTGCTTTTTGTATATCATTTCTCGTTATTTGGGTTATGATTATATGCAAGCCAAGGAGATTAGTAGGAAGGTGAAGGGATGCAAGTGCATAACTGAAGAAAGGTTTGTAAGGTTTCGGTAGGAAACTCTTACACGTAGCTTTGAGTTCGTATCTCCTAAATAGAGTTATGTCAACAAGTTGAATTCGGTAAGAAACTCTTAAGAGTATACTTATCATTCGGCTATTCATCGAATTAATAGAAAGATTGTCACTCAATGTTGTTTATATCTTTTATGCACTTAATCATGAGCCCAATTAGAATATGATGATACACAACACTTTCAGTGGTATTAAATTTCTATAGCTCTAGCCTCACCTGCCGTTGTCTTGCGGGTTATATTCCTATGTTGATTAATTTAGTTATAAGAAAAAACCCTTACTAATACATAATAATTAACGTTTAAATTTTCGCTAGGAGGCACAAACAATACTCCGCTACAGGGGTACGACCAATGTGCTCCCATTCAACCCAGATATCTTGCCCTTTCTCAAAAGGGCACGGTTGGACCCGATTAGGAATTTTAACGACATTAAAGTCGATCGCCAACTCATCACCGCATTAGCTGAGAGATGGAGAAAGGAGACACATTGTTTCAACTTTAGAGAAGGAGAGGCCACCATCACGCTAAAGGATGTCGCCATCCTAACCCATCTTCCCATCGACGGCAAACCGGTGTGCGCGAGTGATCATCCCCCGAGGATCGTGACGGTATGCCCGGTTGGGTTCATTTCATCCACAGTGTTATGGGGGTGAAAGTACCAGTCAAAGGGAGCGTTGATGCGACCGATCGCTTTCCACCAATGAGGAAACACCATTGACGAAGTATTTTAGAGACCATTACGAGAGCCATCCCCTAACCGAGGAAAGTCCGGAGGATGAGAAGGAAAGATATGCTCATGTCTATCTCATAGGCATGATTGGAGGAGTTTTCTTCTCCAAAAAATCAAGCAATCTCCTTAGTTGTGGATGGCTTAGGATCATCCTCGGTAGTTGGGAGGAGATGGGGGAGTTTAGCTGGGCATCCGCTTGCCTAGCTAATATCTACCACAATTTGTGCAATGCGTCTCTAAAATCTGTGAGGGAGGTCGGCGGCGCAATGTTCATCGTCCAATTTTGGGCTTGGGAGCATATGCCATGGATTGCACCGGTCCAACGCCCCGACAGGGATTGGCCAATCGATCATCCCCTAAGAGGTGAAGCTTATGGTACAAGGTAAACTTCTCATACCCCATCATGTTTTTCATAACACATTTTCCCTTGTGTTTTTAGCTTATTGTAGTTTCATTATTGACACGCTAAAACACAACACCTAACAATGGCCAAGTGTAACCAATGAAAGGGACTGCAGTATAGTGGCACAAGTAATAAATATCGAATCCACGGGTCTCTAGAGTTACTATTACTCAGCTTCAGTTCATTATCTAGCAAACTAGATTAAGGATTGATTGATAAACTACTCTACTGACTACTCTACTAATTACAAGTTGGGAACTCACTTAGGTATGATTCCCCCTAGCTCCTCAATTAAGTCCAAGTTGCAATTACCTTTGGTTGATCTACTGTTGATTAAACTGCGGAAGATCCTAAATTAGCTTGGAATCTCTTAAGCTGACCAAGCCCTCTCAGACAGAATACCCGGCAGGCGACTAACCTTCACCGGGATAGACTGCTAAGGCGATTCACACAGATCTCCACTACTGGAATGAATTCCAGTACAAAGCAGTGAATTGATTGACTCTCGCACAACCAATTCACTACTATCAATCAAGGAAGCTCTCTTAACCTAATCAGATTCTATCTATCATAGGTTAAAGCAGAAATCAAGAGAATTTGATCAAGATCCAATTGACTCAATAAATCATGCCTCAACCGATTATAATCAAACAGTATAGCATCCAAAACTTCATACAAGAAAGATCCTAACTCATGGAACTAGGGTTCCTCAAAACCTAAGTGAAGGGAAGTTACTCCATAGAGAAGAGAGAGACTGCAGAAATCTGATCTAGATCTTCAATCTCCATCTCCAAGCTTGATTCCTGAGCTCCAATGGCGAAGAAATCCTCCAAAATAGCTCCAAGAATGTTCCCAAGTCGCTCTCTCTCTCTAGGGTTCGTCCCTTGGGTGTTTGGGATCCAAAACCCAGCTCTCCTCCCTTTTGGCTCGGATTAGGCTTAAAAACAGGCTTCCCCGAGTTGCACGGCCAGGTGCACGGCCGTGCACAACACCATTCTGGCCGTGCACCATCAAAACGCACCGTTTCACTTAATCGATCTCAGCCATCTTGCACGGCCAGGTGCACGGCCGTGCAAGGCTGGATTTTGCCCGTGCAAGGCCTCGGCAGAGAGCGCACGGCCAGAATTATATGTTGCACGGCCGTGCGCCTCCCTGGTCTGCCCGTGCAGCTTGCTCAGCCTCTGTTTAATGCTTCGTTTCTCCCTCGTCCGGACTCCGAATCAGTCGCCGTTTGATCCCAGACGCTCGTAGTCTCATCCTCTTTCGTTTCATAACAAGCTTGCATGATTCTCTGTCCATAAAGTGAGGTAGAAATCAATTCTTCTTCAGGTCATGCCCGAGTTTCTGCTCCCGAATCGCCAATTGATCTCTGATTGACTTGAAACTTGCGCTTATGCTTCACTTTATGTGCTAGGACCTGAAATGTGACAAAGGAACACAACCTAGCATAAAATAGGCCAAAGACACGGTAATTCAAGCTCAAACAATCAAGAAACAAAGGGGAAAACATGTGCAAATACCGAGTCATCAAATCCCCCCACACTTAACTGTTTGCTTGTCCCCAAGCAAACCTAACTCAAACCAATGCAACTCTCCAGAGCTCTATAGCAACATACAACCCCGATCGTCGGTAAAGGATTTCCCAGATCATATAGCAGCTTACGAGGTCAACTGGTCTTCTAAGACGTTCCCTATCTCTCTCAATGCGAGTACTAGACTCAAGCCAGGATCATGAGAAAAAGTAGAAGTAAGACAGTCAGTTCATGGATAAAGGGACTCACACCATTCACAACCAAGGACTCGTTGTACCGGGGTGCTCTTTCACTTCATTTCACCGTTGGAACCCCTTTTTCTCACTTTCATTTACATTTTTTCTTTCATTTGGTGGAGTTCCAACTGCAGTCTTTTGCACGGTCGACCCTTATTAGTCGAGCAAGAGCAATTTCTGTACATCTGGCGCTCGCCAGAGTACTTCTTTTAACTCCTTTTCCTCAACTCGTGTGGAGGGTCAATGAAATTAAGGGGGGTCGGAAGCTCTATCCGTGCCCTTAAAAACACATCCTCGAGTAGGCAAACCGCTCAACGGGTGGAAGTTTTACTTGTACTAGAGACAGCTTAGCTTCACCTTGTAGGAGTACCCCACTAAGGATCACTAAAATCTCTTCCAAAACCCGATTTTGTGCAATGAACGGTGCCACACACGTTGGGCTTACCCCATGTTTAAGATTTAATGATTTTGACATGGAGGACCAACTGCTTCCCATTTTCCATATGAGCACCCTGTTCGATACACGAGTCCAGAACACAATCCAAATAGAGTCACCATTACCACATGAATTCAACGGTCTTAGCTCCACTAATTCACAAAATCAACTGACACAGCAGAGAGCTAGATAGGAAAAATCTTATACTTCAACATCCTCCATAGTGCTACACTACCTCCCTAGGTTGCACATTACTATAGAGACTGTCAATTCAAAGCATACTGAGCAGGCAATTTGCAAGGAAACACGTACTTGGAGCCCTCAAATCGAAATTTGGACAGTGGACTAGGCTCCAAGCACACAAACAGCCAAACATTCACCCGCATACATAATCGAACACCCCCCCACACTTAAGCACGACATTGTCCTCAATGGAGGAAAGATAAGGAGGGTAGAACGAAGTTACCAGATCAAGGGTGAATGATGATGGACGGGGCAGGCGGTGCATTCCAGGAGGAGAGAGTAATCAGAACACAAACACCACACAAAATCTCACAAAGGTTGAGCTATTGACTCTAAAACCAAATAACAAAACTGACTCAACCGAGGAGAAATAGAGAAAGAAATGCAAACCGACTGGTTGGGTTGCCTCCCAACAAGCGCTTCTTTCACGTCGTGAGCCGGACGATGGCTCCTAAGTTTCGGTCCATGCTAGAACCTCCTTGAAGTTGAGGTTTTCATCTATGAGGTGGAGTCTCAAGTCACAAGCAGGTGATGTGGCAGGTGATGAAGGCTCGTGCACTTGATGCAGATGAAGTCTCCACCCTCGAGACCTCTTCTTCTCTTCTCTCGTCTCATTGCCCCAGACCAGATAAGACAGCATCGATTGGCCACCACCGCGTCCACCAAGGGGAACCGATGTCGATGTGGCCTTGGTCTGGCAAAGAGACACTGCAAATGGGTCCTTGCCAAGCAGC